ATGAGAAGGCGCAGGCCAGGCCGAGGGACCCCACCAGTGCACGAGTCCATGCACTGGGCTTCTAGTATGTATACAAGGTGTTTGGTTTATTACCTCCCAGCCTCCCCACCTTCCCTCTGAGATTCCCCACTCTGTTCCATGCTTCCATGTCTCTGGATCCACTCAGAGATCAGTTTATTTTGTTACTTAGATTCCACATATGAGTGCATTCATGTGATACTTATCTTTCTCTGACTGACTTATTTCACTTAGCATGATATTCTCCAGGTCTCTCCATGCTGTCTCAAAGGGTAAGAGATTCTTCTTTTGTACTGCTGCATAGTATTCCATGGTGTAAATGTAGCACAGCTTTTTTATCCATTCATTTACTGATGGGCACTTGGGCTGTTTCCAGATCTTAGCTATTGTAAATTGTGCTTCTGTGAACATAGGGGTGCATACATTCTTTCTGATTTGTGCTTCCTGTTTCTTAGGATATATTCCTAGAAGTGGGATCACTGGGTCAAATGGCAGTTCCATATTGAATTTTTTGAGGAAACTTCATACTGTTTACCATAATGGCTGCACCAGTCTGCATTCCCACCAGCAGTGCACTAGGGTTCCTTTTTCTCCACATCTTCTCCAGCACTTGTCATTTGTTGATTTGTTGATAGTAGCCATTCTGACATGTATGAGATGGTACCTCATTGTCATTTTGATTTGCATCTCTTGGATGATCAGTGACTTTGAGTGTTTTTTCCTATGTCTCTTGGCCATCTGTATGTCCACTTTGAAGAAGTGTCTAGTTAAGTCCTTTGCCCATTTTTTTAATTGGATTGTTTGTCTTCCTTTTGTTAAGTTGTATGAGTTCCTTATATATTTTGGATATTAACCCTTTATCGGATGTATCATTGCTAAATGTGTTCTTCCATACAGTAGGCTCTCTTTTCATTTTGTTGATATTTTCCTTTGCTGTGCAGAAGCTTTTTATTTTGATGTAGTCCCATTTGTTTATTTTCTTCTGAGTTTTTTTTCCTTAGGAGATGTATTGGTAAACATATTGCCAGGAGAGATGTCTGAGATTTTGCTGCCTATGGTTTTTCCTAGGATTTTTATGGTTTCATGACTTACATTTAAGTCTTTTATCCACTTTTGTAGGTGATTTTCTGAATTTTGACTCATTGCTATAGCAACAAAGTCTCAATATCTTTTTTCTTTTGTAAAATGAATCCATATCTTTTCTTTCTGATGGATTATGTACTGGCACTAGCTTCTTAAACTCTATTTTAAATAACAAAATAATTTATTGTTTAATTCTGTTTTTTTTTCTTATGTGGAAATAATGAGTTAACCATAAAGTGGATATTATATAATGAAATTTGCAAAGCTTTCTTTTCAAGTAAGTTTCTTGACATAGTTTCTGGTTCAGTAATAATAGTTAAGAGTGATTTAATGATTTGTTTGTTTGTACTCTATCCTGACACCAATGTTTATATTACAAATATTTGTTTTATAAGAATAAAAAAGGCATTATGTACTCATGGGCAATGAGTCCATTAATACATTTAAAGCATGTCTGTTCATACTCTGCACATGATGGGAGCTCAGCAGTTATAGAAGTTTCTAATACAGCTATCGGACATTTGTAAAACTTCAAAATATCTTACATTTATGTATATTCTTCGGGATCATATGATCATAGTATCATCTTGGGAAGCAGGAAGAGAACAAACATTAGTATTCCCTGTTTACATCCAGGGAAATTATGGATAACAAAGCTTAAGAGGCTCTCCCACGGTAGTGGAACAGAGCCTTTCTAACAAGTCCACTCTGTATGTTTTGCCTGAACTTGGACACTATTGAGAGTGACAAGGGCTAGTATTAATAACTAGTGGCCCGGGGCATGAAATTCATGCACATTTAAAGGGAATTAATTAGAGAAAATATTTTAATATTGCTATTTCCCCTTTCTCTATAATAGAAGTGTCAGAGATGAAAGAAAATTAGTAAAATGTATATGAAAATCTCCCTCCTGTCAGAGTCTGGGGTGCACCATGGGACCCAGAGTCAAGTCCCTGCCCACCTGCACGCACCTCGAAATAGTGTGAGACCCAGACCCAGCTGGTCTCATGCCCGTCAAGCCCCGCCGGGGGGTGGGGGGGATGGCCTCAGGTCCTCCGGCCCTGGCACCGGGGCATGAGGGTGTGAGGACATGATGGCGTGATGACTATTTGCATATTAGCTCTTTATTATATAGGATTATAATGGGGCAATATATATGAAGTTGGATTGTCACAGTGAACTAAGACCTGTTGTTATTTTATCTACAACAGAATTCCATTTCTCTATGGTTCTTAGACCTCACTTGTGTTGTATATGCAAGTATGTGCAAATGCATATAATGGTTATAGGAGAGGAATAGCTAGGTTTCAGTCCTGGAAGCTACACTTATTAGCTATGAGTTCTTGGGCACACCTCAATCACCTTAACCTTTCTGCTTCCCTTTCTTTCTCAGTGAAATGGGGATGATAATATGCTTATATTATAGGAATGTTATATGAATGCATGAGTATAATTCTTGAAATAATAGTGCCTAGCACTATAGGTATTTGATAAATGAAAATAAGAACATTGACCTTGGTAACTACTTTTTTTGTTGGTGGTGTTAATCCTCACCCAAGGATATTTTCCCATTGATTTTTAGAGAGAGTGGAAGGGAGGGGGAGAGACACACAGAGAGAAACATTGATGTGAGAGAGACACATCAATTGGTTGCCTCTCACACAAGCCCAGAGCAGCTTGGGGATCAAGCCTACAGCTGAGGTACATACCCTGGACAGGAATTGAACCCGTGACCATTCAGTCCATGGGCCAAGGGTCTAGTCCAGGTGTGGGCAAACTTTTTGACTCGAGGGCCACAATGGGTTCTTAAACTGGACCGGAGGGCCGGAACAAAAGCATGGATGGAGTGTTTGTGTGAACTAATATAAATTCAAAGTAAACATCATTACATAAAAGGGTACGGTCTTTTTTTTTTTTTTTAGTTTTATTCATTTCAAATGGGCCGGATCCGGCCCGCGGGCCATAGTTTGCCCACGGCTGGTCTAGTCAGTGAGCCAAACTGGCTAGGGCTTGGTAACTACTTTTTTAATAGAAAAACTTAGAAGCTATTTAGCTAAGAACATTTGTTGTATTTCCAGAGCACATTTCTAAATCAATTCTTAGAATACTGTCCACTTTGTACTTTAAAAGTCTATACCGAAAATTACTAATATCTGTTCCAATGCTGTTGGGTGATACAACCTTATTATTGTTTTAGTATGTAGCATTATTAACATATACATGTAAGACAGCAATAACAAGCTAATTCTCATCTTGGAGTATTTTGAATTTGTGATGAAATGAAACTTCATAATAGTCTATAATTTTATGAATTCTACTAATAGAATTTTATTAATTCTATAATGTTTTAATAATAGACCTTTATGTCTTTACTAGAGGCCCGGTGCACAAAAATTTGTGCACTTG